CCTGATGGAGTAGAGTTGAGTACAGAAGGAGTAACTGGAATTACACGTGTACCACACCCCTTCAAGGTTCACGCCAAGGCTCGCTGATGTAACGTCTCACTGAATTGATTTCTTTCGAAATAACGTGTAACAAGACTGAGCAAAAAAGCATCAGGAGAGAAATCTTTAGTTATTTTTCCATCCTGTTGAGGACTTGTTTAGTCTCTCTGCCTGTACATTTGAGTGGGTTAGGGTTACATGTTACATGTGATAGTTATTTTTGTACAAAACATTCTTGTAATAATGGCACTGCTTTTAAGACATTACCCTTTATCCTTTAGTAGTAGTTATTAATGATTAAATATCTCAAGGTTTTATAAACATGTTCTTTAAAATGACATGTCATGTATCAGCCATTATATAATAATAACTGAAATCATTATCAACAAACTATTTGAGCACATTTGTTAACAATCAATAAAGGATCTGAATGAATCGATCACAAACCTGGTTTTACTTCATAAGTAAATAAAACAAACACACATTCATAGCTGGTGACCGATTTTCAAGCCACTGGAAATGTAAGTGGTGCTTGTGACACCAGGGTGGCATCCAAGACGTGAAGAGTATCCCCACTGAAGGACCTGAGAATAGAAGTCGGCTGCCACAAAAACATTATTTGGAGGGCAGGCGCTGGGAGCAGGGAACTCAGAGCTCGTCTTTACCTTGTTCGCAGTGGAAAGGATCCCCTCAGGTAGGAGTTATTATAAAGTCCAAGTGAACCTCATCAGTCCCTTGCTCGTCTTCTCTGCCTCACTATGTGGCTGTGTGATTTGTTTCTGTGGCTTGATCTGAGGGGGACGAGATGATCAGTAGCCTCCAGCAGCTGGTCCCGGAACGTAGTCAAACGCCAGCAGAGCTCCCACGCTGTCCTCAACGAAGCAGTTTTTGACTTATTGTAGTGACCGATGCTTCCCAATAAAAGTCACCATGGTTGCTGCAATGTTTGTTCTGACACGTTCCATAAATAACGAAGTCCAGTTTCCAATATAGGCATTTTATTTCTCACATAAACCACCCCTTTCTCTTCAGTTATCCATTTTCTCCATAAACCAATAAATCATAACATTTACATTCGTTAAATGTGCACGGTCAAAAACTGTTTGCTTCTGCTTATAACCACCTGTGTCCAATGACCCCACTGATTATATTACCTGTGCCCTGATTCACACCGGCACCACGTCCCCATGTGGTGGGTGGTTGTACAAAAACAAAAACAACAAAATGGCTCTTACACATATTTTCTCTACAAACTAAAGATTAGGGTGTACCTTGACCATTATGCACATCAAACCCACTTTTTTCCTGATATTCTCGGTTTTTATAGCTCTTAACGAAACAAGCTGTTTTTAGTAGGATAACACAAGATGATTTATTCTTTCTGCAACACATATACCTTATAAATTGCGGGGATAACAGACATGGATATTTAAAAATGTTCACTCTGTTATATAAAAGTTACTAGCTTATATCAGTGCAGCCCCACAAGACAACAGTCACCCTTCATATATCTGTGTGTAACATTAAATCATCAGCACCAGAAAACTAGTTTCCTATTTGAAATGTGAGCGACCATCCAACGTCTGTATCTAAATGCAGTTATTAAACATTGGATAATTTAGTTTTTTGATTTATGGTTAAAATTCAATTAATTCTTAAAGCTGTCAACGGACCAACTCCCAACTATGTCCTTGGGTGTCACCATCTTTTCAAGTTTTATTCACGTTTTGTATCTGTAGATATTGACTTAATTGTACAAAAGTTTTTTTTAGTGCATTCTTGCCCTTTAATAAACACATCACCATGTCAAATACATTAACTGTAGTCAAAGCTCCCAGGGACAACAGATGGATCTAGCATTGTGTTTACATCTGGTGTAATGCATTTATTGTACACTGTCCCTAAATGCCCCTAAAAGGTATCCGACCACACAATAGCCACGTGCTCGTGTTGTTACGGCAACGCATGTTTGAAACTCGAGGCTCGAGACAGACTTCTCTGTGTGCTAACTGGTGTGCTAGCTAGCTAGCTTCTCAAAACTATCAACACGTTGTGCCGTCTCTCAGTATTACACGCGCAATATATAAACGATGGTAAGCAAAGCGTTTTTTAAATCAATTCACCACAACAATGGACGTTCATAGTGAGCTCCAGTAACGTTCAACAGCGTGTGCTTCTCGTGTGTTGTCCATAGACTGTATATCACTTGTTTGTATGTTGTTGACTTTTGTGCAGCCACCCAAAAGCAGCAAAGGCTCAAGTAAAAAGCCTGCAAAGGCAAAAACGCCCACACCGACAGATGGATTCACCAAGGAGGAGCTGTCCAAGGAGCAGGTCAGAGGTTAAAGTGGGGTGTGTGTGTTGGAGTGATGCTTGTATATTCTATGTCAGGAGAAAAGAAAAGTTTCCTTTTCAAAGCGATTTGTACATGAAATGGGTATTTCAGCAAGTTGGTTTTGCCCTCGCATACAGCTGGAGGACTCCCAAGAGTCAGGTTTAAATAAGAATGGTCCAAAATCAATGCAGCAGAGGCTGAGATATCTCGATTTTGGGTTCCTACTGTGGGTGAAGTTCTCAAAACACTGGATACTAAGTTACCTGAAGCATCTTTTCATAAGACCCTCCCTGCCTGGTGAAATGCTCATCAAGTTTAAACTCCCCACTTTTTATGGCAGGCCTTTTCTTATGAATTGGTAATCATAGGCCCATTCCAGATAGCCCTGAATCTGGATTATTTTTCTCAAACTTTTGTCTGGTTGAAGGTTGTAATGCCTTTATTTAATACATGTTTTGACAAATTATTGTACCCTAAAATGGTGTAACTTTGTTTCAGAAAATACTTTATTTTTTGCGTAATATTTTTCTCTTAGCTTTTTGTAATTTGTTGATAGGGATGTATTTTAGTTTTGTTTTACTGTATGTCTGTTCATATATAAAAGATGTATATTGAAATTGATATAATTAATTAATCACCAATTAAATACACTTAAATATGTGATTTACAAGAAGTGCAACAACAATCAAATCACATCATTTTCACTAGAGTCAGAAGCTGAGATAACAGCTACTGATACGTTGTTAAGCTATTTGCAATAACTTTACAGGACTAGTTTTGTTCTCCATCATGACTGCTTATTTTATTTACTGCAAATATGCACGCTGTGTTAACAGAATCTTTAAAGATTCTCAGACCTTCCTCCAGAGCCAAAGCAGACATTATATGTCTGATTTACATTACTGCCCCCTGTGAACTAAACATTGGACTTTGACATTTACAACTAGGATAAATGAGGTAATTGGCTACACGGTCATCTAGATCGTCTGGCTCACATGCCCACACTAAAATACATTTCTGTATTTCAGCTGGAAGAGCAGATCGTGCGCCTTCGAGAGGAGCTGGACAGAGAGAGGGAAGAGAGAAACTACTTTCAGCTAGAGAGGGACACGATCCACACATTTTGGGAGATCACAGAGAGCAAACTAGAGGAGGTCAAGGCTGAAAAGAAGAATTTTGATAAGGACATAGAGGAGGATGAGGGGCGCTACCAAGTAGAGATCAAGGTGAGGTTAATACACAGGTGTATTGTAGTTATAGTCGAACTGCACCCAAATTCACAGGCTAGATTTTTACCATGTCTTTATTTTATGCCATAATATGCCGTAACAGGCAACAAGGATCTTTAAATGCAGTTAGAAGATGCAACCTTTTTTTGATCCACAGCCAGTGTATTTTTTATCCTCAGTATCCTACAATCCATTGTGCGTCTGTAGTTTTTTAGTGGCATGTACCGGTTGTCCTCTCAACTTTAAAAGTTAGGAGAAATCATGTGATTGCATTCTTTTTTTTCCATATACTAGTACTAGTTTGTCATTTGTTAAGCAAAGATTATCCATTGACAGATGTAAGGGTTAAATTCATTTTACAATGCACATTTGATTCACTTTTTTTCCACCAGGTGTACAAGCAGAAGATGAAGCACCTCCTGTGTGAACACCTGAACACAACCTCTGAGTTAAAAGCAGATGGTTTAGTCTCCACACCGGTGGTGCAGGAGGAGCAAGAACGATTAGAGACTGAGCTTCATAAGGAAATGAGGGCCGTCATGGTCGACATGCAGGAGCTTGACAATGAAAACCTTGTCAAGGAGCTTGAACTGGTTTGTAGTACACACTATTATCTTCTACACTTAAAGGTCTGTGGATTTAATGTGTCTCTTTACTTTGATATATTGCAACAATTGAGCGGCAATGCTACAAACACCACTTTGGTTTTTATCTCAACAGAAACACGATGAAGAAATGACTAAAACAAGTAACAGGGTGGAGAAGCAAATTGCAGGTAAAGAACTAATCTCGTTTTGAGTGGAATTCAACACCCCGTGGTGTCAGAAACTAAACAGGAGCCCTCGTTTTGTGTCGCTATTTGAGTAGAAATCCGAGCCAAGTATGATGAAAAGAAGGAGCTGCTACAACAACAGCTGGACAACATGACAAATAATAAGATCAGTGAGAACGAAGATCAATGGAACAGCCACGTCAACACTCTAGTAGAAGACCACAAGAAAGCAATAACTGAATGTGAAGCAGTTAATAGTTGCTGGAAACAGGAACGGAATGTGAACGATTCACTCACGGTATAAGTGCTCACATTCAGAGGCATTTCAGATGTTTTGTTTACACCGGCAACGCGTTATTAATTTAGTTATTGATGAGTATGTTGATCCAGCTGTTTGTTTTTTTTCACATGGCTTGTTTTGTTGACTTTTCTTAGGAAGAAATTAAATTGATGAAGAAGACACAGGAGGAGAAGAAAGAGAACCTGGCCTGCCTTCTGCTAGAGAACAAACAGATGGCTGAGCTTCTCTCAGAAGTCTCAGAGGAGAGCGCGGAAATTGAGAAAGAAATTAAATACTTCGTAATAAAAAAGGTTGTTGGTGTAGTATATGTGGATATTTTTTAAACGTGTTTGTGGTTGAAACTTTGTTCACTCACGTTTATTGCTGCCAGTGTCTTAATTGTTCCTGACATGTAGCATACTGTACAAGGTCTAATTGTGACACTGTTTTTGACAGGATGTTGATGAAAAGGTTGAAGAAAAGAAGCTGGATAAACTGAAATGGGATTATGAGACACTGGAACAGACATTCTGCAAGGTAAATGCTTTGATTGAGTTGCACTGTATTATGTTGATACGTTGCAATGTTAGCTTGATTCATGTAATAATAATACATTTTATTTATATAGCGCTTTAAAAGGCACTCAAAGACACTTTACATGGTAAAAACAGAAACAATAAAAGCATTTATAATAAAAAGAAAATCTACAACATAACAGTAAGAAAAAAAATAAACATACATGACTGAGTTTAGAGGTTAAAAGCAGATTTAAATAGGTGAGATGTACACCCAACGTGGCCAAATGCTCGTTTACTTTTGAATATTTGTGTGAATGTTTTTGCATTTGTTTTTGTCTGTGCACATGTCATACAGCTTGAGCTAGAAAGGGACGAGCTGTACAAGACGGTCACTCGGAATATTCAGCGGGTGCAGCACGAAGCAGATTGGAAGAGCATGCCGCTGGAAAAGAAGCTGAAAGGCCTGACGGACGGCTTGGAGAAGACGCAGGCTCAGCTCCTCTCTGTGCTTTCTGCCTCTAACATGGACCGAACTGCTCTTGATGGGGTCACTGACACAATTGAGGTGAATTGTCTCTTAAATAATGTGTGTTTTATTGCACATTGCCCTCTGTACAAAAACATAAAATAATCATGTTTTTGCTTGTAGAAAAATCTGGACTCCGGTAATGATTCCATCAAGAACTTGGAGTATAAAAAAGCTCAGCTTTCCCAGGAAAGAAGTGTGTTTACTTCCCGGAAGTGTCATGCATTTGTCAAATTAATGATGATGTCATGTACAATTTTGTAGTAATATTCATACTCGTGTGTCCGGCAGGCCCGTAAGGATTTGCTGCTGACCTACGAAGCTTGGTGTGGAGGAGCTTTGCGTAAAGCCATTTGAGATCAGCTGCTAACTGGGAAAAGTCTGGAATTGATTTTGGGTTTGCCCCAAAATGAGACGCAATGAATCAAAAGGCCGACCCCTTTACATGTGTTTCTTCACTCCATTTCAACTAGTTTGTTTAAGAAAATAAACTATTTTGGGATGTTTGTATATTTTTATTTTATTCTTTCATAGATAGCTCATAGGGATACATGTATTTTTGTTTCTCTGTGTGACAATATATTAAGATGTATGATGATATACGAAAATGAACCTAGAATTAAATACATTTAAATATGTGATTTAAAAGAAGCTAAGCGTCCACCTGAGCAGGTTTTGCCAAGAATTTCAGTAGGATTGATAGTTTGGCATTAGGGAAAGGTAATTCTCTGACTGTAACAGGTGGGGAAATGAATCTGGCTTAATAGTGTTGGATCCAGGGTGGTATGAGATGGGGGGAGTAGATAAACGACAGGTTTTTGTGGGCCGTCCACACTACAGTGGCGACCCAGACCTTTTCTGGAAATTTAAGCAGAAGAACCAAAGATATATATTACATCACATTACATTCAGCATTATGGGACAGCAGCTGAACGACTACTGTTTGATGCTCCCGCTTTGTTATGGTGTGTAACTTTGGGCCAGTTTTTAGTTTATTCGTACTCTGTATTTGGTTAATGGAGGCGTGTCCTCGCTCTCTGTCACACACAAAGGTCATTACATCCACAGATGTTGTGAGTCAGCAAAGTACCAGAGCAAGTGAACCTCATCGGTCCCTTGCTCGTCTTCTCTGCCTCACTATGTGGCTGTGTGATTTGTTTGTGTGGCTTGATCTGAGGGGAATGCTGCTTTTTATTTTTGCCGTTCTCCTCGTGGTGTCTTTTCGGAACAAAAAGGATCCACCCAATTTTCCACCGGGACCATCATCTCTCCCTCTTTTGGGAAACATATTCAACATTGAATCTAAACAGCCTCACATTTACTTAACCAAGGTAAGATCATATTTTCATTTTATGAGGAAGTGTTTTTTGTGAAAACTTGAGCTACAGCGAGAGGTGGAAGGAAGATTCCTATTATCTATATCCTCCACTACTTTAGCATGTAGTCGACACAGATCCTCAAATAAAGGGCAAACAAAATAAATCACATGAGACTGCATCAACAAAATATTAAAACATTTATGGTAGAAAACAATGGTAAAATGCTACTGATAGTTTGTCAGTGTCACAGAAACTGTTGTCTTGAAATATGCATCTTATCAGAGTCACATGCTGGACAACAGGCCACTTATTCTCTGCCCCTGCATCCACAGCTAGCTGATGTTTATGGGAATGTGTTCTGCATACGTCTGGGAAGACACAGAACAGTGTTTGTGTCTGGGTGGAAGATGGTGAAAGAAGCCATAGTGACACAGGCCGACAACTTTGTGGACCGGCCTTACAGCCCGATGGTGACCCGAATTTATTCAGGGAATTCAGGTGAATCACACGAAGATACAGCACATCAGTATTAAAGAAGTCAACCTGCCTCCTGATCCCTACCTTAGTAATGTCATGTGGTTCATCTCTGTCTCAGCGGGTCTTTTCTTCAGTAATGGGAAAGTGTGGAGGAGACAGCGGCGTTTTGCCATGGCCACGTTACGTACCTTTGGCCTAGCCAAGAGCTCCATGGAGCAGAGCATCTGTGAGGAGAGTCATCATCTGCAGGAGGCGATGGAGAAGGAGAGAGGTTGGCAAAAAAAAGAACAAAATGTAACAGAATGAAAAGCAACAATACACTCAAGACATTTCTTTCTGCTCAGGTGAGCCATTTGACCCGGTGCCCCTCTTGAACAATGCTGTGGGCAACATCATCTGCCAGATAGTGTTTGGGAGACGGTTTGACTACAGCGACCACAACTTCCAGAGCATGCTGAAGAATCTGACTGAGATGGCCTATTTGGAGGGCTCCATATGGGCTCTCGTAAGATGCACAGTAGCTGAGACACAAGTAGCAACTTCACACGGCTAAAGGTGTTCATAACATGGATCAGAACCAGCGTGTCCAAACATTTGATTATATCTAATTATCAGTTGATAAAATAGTCTTGTATGCAAGTCAGATTTGTCAATCTGTCAAATGAAAGTTTAAGTCAGAAAATATTGTGAGCTAAAGTGAGATCTTAAACAACACCACTGAATAACCCGTTTACTTTCCAAACAGCTATATGATGCGTTCCCAGCTCTGATGGAACACCTGCCGGGGCCTCACAATGGCATCTTCAGCAGCTCCAAATCTTTGGAGGCCTCCATCAGGCGAGAGGTAGAGAGGCACAGGTTGGACCTGGACCCTGGCAACCCACGAGATTACATCGACGTCTTCCTGATAGAGGAGAAAGTATAGTGTTTACAATGTTGACTCGGCCAATCGATATGTATGAGATACGAAAAACTAACTGACCGTATGTTTGTCCCTCCGCCTTGCTCAACAGCGCAACAGAAACAGTGAATTGGGTTTCGACGATGGCAACCTGGTTCTGTGCTGTTTGGATCTGTTCCTGGCTGGTAGTGAAACCACTTCGAAGACCCTGCAGTGGGGCCTCATCTACCTCATCAGGAGCCCTCATATCCAGGGTGGGTGTTCAGATAAGAGTCCCACAGCAGCAGCACAAGAAGTAGATTAATAGATACTGGAGACAGAACACGCTTAAGATCAAAGACGTCACATTAATTGATCAATTAAACATCTTTTTATTCCACTTCCTAGATAAAGTCCAGGCAGAGATAGACAGAGTGATCGGACAGACCCGCCAGCCCAGTATGGCAGACAGACCCAACCTGCCCTACACAGACGCCGTCATCCACGAGATCCAGAGGATGGGAAACATTGTTCCTCTCAATGGACTCAGAATGGCCGCCAAGGACATGACACTGGGCGGTTATTTCATACCCAAGGTGCATCTACCTAGCAGGGATTGTAAGGTTGTCAAAAATGGATTTCCACATGTATAACTAAAATCATAACACATTTACTGGAGACTTTAAACAAAAGTCTGCATATAAGACTTTTTAAAAAGATATATTTGTCCACACTGTTTAAACCGGGTATTTGTGCACAGTGTCAGATTAAGATTAGTGTTAGTATTGTACTATATGAGTAGAATTAGATTCCTGCGTTGGGTTTTTTCAGACATTTCCAACTGCTCCAGAGTGTTTTAAGTCCAAATGTAATTTATTTATGTTGATGAAACTGAGCCATTAAAGAAAGTTTGCTTAGTAAAAACAAACCAACTCATTTAAGACGCTGAATCACTTTGTTCAAAACAAGGATTTTAGCTTTTCTTAGATAGAAATAGGGGAGCCTCAAGGATAAAAGATTGTGAAACAACTGCATTCAACAGAAAACAAAGTGTAATTGTGTGCAGTTTGTGATGTCATAGATGTTAATCTAGGCTAAGGTTACTGCAAGAAACATTGAATGTCCTGACATCACCTGGAGATTTATAATCAAAGAAGAGGAAAAAGGGGAAAATGTCAAAATACATTTGTTGCATTGTAAGAAGATGAAGTGGTGACATTTTGTGCAGACAAACCCCTGAAATGAATGAGAGAACATGATATGAACATCTGACATGACAAATAACTGGTAATTCATTGAGCTAACATAATGTAGAAACACAACCCTCCTGTGACGTCCGTTCAGCAGAGACCTTGTGATCAGCTTTCTCTACAGTGTCAACACCCACTTGTTGTCTCTGCCCTTATCACACCTTATCAACTGCGGCTGTACGATACACGGATCTCTTCTTAGCCTTTTGTTTAAACGACATCAAACTGATTCCCGTCTCTTTGTGTGTGCAGGGAACCTCAGTGATGCCCAACCTGACCTCTGTGCTGTTTGACAAGACTGAATGGGAAACTCCCGACACCTTTAACCCTGAACACTTCCTGGATGCTGAAGGGAAGCTTGTGAGGAGGGACGCA